AACATAGACAAACCTGTTGGTAATTCTTTACAACATAATTGAATCGCTCATTCACTTTTCTCAAATGTAAATTTTTTTTATGTTTCAATGTACAAAGTACATGTAAGGTTGATTTAGTACACAATTAACACATTTGGCCTGATTTTAGCACAACTCTCAAAGGAAAAAAAATCTGGTGATCTAAACTGATAGGTCGACTCACAGTCTAATTTTTTTTAAGACATTCTGTTAGTCTTTAACAGAATATTTTCATTTTGGATTCACCTAGATGGACTTTGTACGTTGAAATATGTAAAAAAAAACAAAACAAAAAAAAAACATTGGAAATGTAACCAAGTTAATGAGCAATTCAAAAGTTTGGAGGTTTGTCTCTCCTTTTTTTTTAATTGTTATCAAGAAAGGAGGCAAAATAGGAAAAAAGAAATATAAGGCCTTTGTTAGATATTAAATCGGGTTTCACTGTTGCTATGTTTGTGCCTCGGTGGCCACCGTACCCCCGTGTTACGTAGGGGATTGTTTGCCCTGTATCCTGCCAGTTCTATTCAGTAAAGCGGACCGCAACCACCATATTACCCGTCTCCTCGTTATTGAACTAACCCGGATAAATACATGACAATTGGCGACGAGGATGCGTCTGACCTCACGTGTAGTGTTTTTTTGGGGCAAATAGCCGTTTTGTTTTCAAGTCATGTGCGTAGTTGGCTGTTTCTGTGCTAAATGAGCAGCACCTCCTCGGATGAAAGCGCGGAAGGAAGCGCCGAAAGTTTAGCACTGCTGGGGCAACAGAGAAGCGACGCCGAACGGGAAAGTTCATTTCAACCGACCGTCAACGGACAGATAGACGGCAAGCAACGCGGAGAAACTCCTTCTATGATGGCGGGTGTTGTGGGGGACATTGGACCGTTTGATGACACGGTGGAGCAATGGAGCGCCTACACGGAGCGTTTTGAATTCTTCGTTCTAGCAAATGGCAAACAGTTTAGTAAAATTGACTTGAACCAGGCCTACCTACAGATGCCGGTGGACCCCGAGTCCAAAGAGTTACTGACAGTCAGCACACACAAGGGCCTTTTTCGGTACCGCCGTTTGGCTTTTGGCATAACATCGGCCCCTGCACTCTTCCAAAAGGCCATGGATCAGATTCTGGTGGGCCTCCCAGGGGTGCAGTGTTACTTGGACGATATCCTTATAACGGGGAGGGACAACGCCGATCATCTTCACAACCTGGACAGGACACTACAGAGGCTGAGGGAACACGGACTGAAAGTCCGCAAGGAGAAATGTGAGTTTTTTCAGTCCTCCATTGAGTACCTAGGTCACGTGATCGATGATAAAGGTCTACACAAGGCCCCCTCCAAGACCAAAGCCATTTTGGAAGCCCCAGCACCACAAAACGTCAACCAGTTACGCTCATACCTGGGGCTCCTGAACTACTATGGTCGGTTCATCCCCAATCTCTCCACCTTATTGAAGCCCCTCCACGAGCTACTGAGGCACGGTAAGAAATGGGAGTGGTCAGAGGCTTGCCAGATAGCTTTCACCAGCTCGAAGAAAGCCCTGCTGAACTCGGAGGTGCTTACACATTTCAACCCAGCACTGCCACTTCAGTTGGCCTGCGACGCATCCCCCTATGGAGTTGGCGCGGTGGTCTCACACATCATGCCGGACGGCACGGATAAACCCATCGCTTTCGCCTCTAAGACCCTTAATAAGGCTGAATGTAACTATGCACAGATCGAGCGGGAGGCACTGAGCATCGTGTTTGGAATAAGGAAATTCCACCAGTACCTTTTTGGAAGGAGATTTACGCTTCTAACTGACCACAAACCACTGACAGCCCTGCTGGGGCCACACGCGGGCATTCCACCATTGGCTGCAAGCAGAATGCAGAGATGGGCCCTGCTGCTCTCAGGCCATGATTATGACATTAAGTACCGCCGATCCGAATTGCATGGTAATGCGGATGGCCTCTCCCGCTTACCGCTCCGCGTAGCAAAGCCAATGACCCAACCAAGCGACATCTTCTACTTCCAGCACGTGAGCGACACCCCTGTCACTGCTAAACAGGTGCGACGTGCCACCCGAAACGATCCGGTGTTATCAGCTGTAATGGATGCCATCATAAAAGGCAGGAGAATCCCAAGCACGCCTGACATCAAACCATATTTGGTCAGGCAACAAGAGCTTTCTGCACAGTTGGGGTGTTTGCTGTGGGGCAGAAGGGTCATCATACCCCCTTCTCTGCGGGGCCCAATGCTGAAACAACTCCACGTCGGGCACTGTGGCATAGTGCGTATGAAGGAGCTGGCCCGCAGCTATTTCTGGTGGCCGGGGCTAGACCAGCACATCGAGGACTTTGCAGGCCGCTGCACTGCCTGCCAAACTGTGCGAAACGCACCTAAACCAGCAGCAGTCCATCCATGGGAATGGCCCGCGGAGCCGTGGCAGCGTATACACATTGACTTTGCGGGACCATTCGAAGACAGAATGTTGTTGGTGGTGGTGGACGCTCACAGCAAATGGCCAGACGTGGCCATCATGCGTTCTACAACCACCAGGAAAACCATTGAGCGTCTGGAGGAAATGTTCAGCCGGTATGGAATACCGGAACAGCTGGTGAGCGACAACGGACCCCAATTTGTCGCAGAAGAGATGGAGGCCTTCCTCAAGATGAATGGAATTCAACACATTAAGTCAGCACCCTACCACCCGTCCACCAATGGACTGGCGGAGAGATTCGTACAAACCTTGAAGCACAGTCTAAAGGCTTCAGTGTTCCAAGGTTCCCTTCATCAGCGACTGTACAGTTTCCTGCTGACTTACCGAAACACGCCACACAGCACCACTAAGGCGTCGCCCGCTGAACTCCTCCTGAAAAGAGCGCTGCGCACCCAATTGGATTGCATACGGCCGCAGTCAAGGAGCCAAACTGTCCTGAGCAGTCAGCAAGAGCAGAGCCAACGTAGGGCAGGCACACCACGGTCTTTTCACATTGGTGACCCGGTCCTAGCTCGCAACTACCTAAGGGGTCCCAGGTGGGTGCCAGCGAAGGTAGTGGCCATTACTGGGCCGCTTTCATACCAAGTACGCACCAACGATGACTTAGTGTGGCGTCGTCATACGGACCAACTGCTGGCCAGCAAAGGCCCTGCCCCGGAACCAATGGGTTCCCCCCTGCAAGATATCTCCGACGGGGCAGACGCGGTGGAGGACCAGGCCGCCCCTGACACCCTGTCAACCACCCTTCAAGAGGACAACGTCACAGACCAGGTTCCCCAGCCCCCATTGACAACGGATTCAGCGCCACCGTTGTCTCCGGTGACCCATCATCCTCACCGGTATCCCACGCGGGAGCGACGGCCTCCTGACCGCCTGAACTTGTAGTCGATGGACTTTCATATCCTTTTTTTCTTGTGGTTTGGAAATTTTGAAGTTAGGTGTTATCCCCTGTTGGGGGTACGTTATCTTATTCTGGGGTTAGTGTTACTGAATATGGGGGGAGGAAATGTTAGATATTAAATCGGGTTTCACTGTTGCTATGTTTGTGCCTCGGCGGCCACCGTACCCCCGTGTAACGTAGGGGATTGTTTGCCCTGTATCCTGCCAGTTCTATTCAGTAAAGCGGACCGCAATCACCATATTACCCATCTCCTCGTTATTGAACTAACCCGGATAAATACATGACTTCTTTTCAGATGATAATCTGATATTTTGGTTTAATATTTCCACAGTCTAGATAGGAATCAAAAACAGCATAGATGTACCAAAATGTTAAACGAAGAAGGGAATCATAACTAAGTATAGGGATCAAGAATTCTCCTCCAGAATTGTTACTGCAGAGAACAGTCTCAGTTCTTTCAGAACATGAACATGTTTCAGAATACAGACCAGATCATCTCTCCACCATATAATAGCTCAAGTTTTTCTGCACTGTAAAACAGGTGGTGAATGAGTGCAAACCCCTTCAAAGTTGAACAGAGATATTTCTACAGCTGTGCACCTCCTGCCCTCATCCCCCTGCTGCTCATTTAAAGGACATTTAGACTCCGATTGCTGCTAGTGACGATAATCACACCTCATTTTTTTGGTGCCAGCATGTTTTCAGGAAAAAGCTTTCAGATTTGAATACCCAGATCAGGTCGCTGGTGGAAGTCTCTAATGCTTTCATGTCTAACAAATCAACCTTCAGCTGTTGTTTGTAGTACAAAATAGATGCAATGCATCATGCTGCTCACTCTGCTGCTTTTTTGTTTTCTTGCAATCACAGTTTGCATTTCGGTGAATTCTTGTAATCACATCTTTCACCTGAAATAAAGTATTGTGTCAAAATAGGCAGATCAAAAGCATTCATTGTGTAAGAACAAAGAGCATGCAACAAAAAGTTTTCATACTTCTTGATCAGTTTGCTATGTTGAGATTGTTATCTCCAAATTACTTAGGAAAAGGCTCCACATTTTAATGCTGTTTTTATGTTTTTATTGCTTTTGGACGGTAAGGCTCTTGCATGACTGTTGCTTATTTTTATAGCAGCCCTGTGTGAAGTGAAAAAAAGAAGGCCCGGGTCTTAAGTGCAAATGTATAAATGTGTGGTAAAGAAAGGATCCTTTAATTAGACATTTTTATTGCAATTTGGTTCTTTATTTTCCATCCTAAATTCAACTCTTTCAATATTACATTTAAACTTTTATGCTACTTGTTGATTTATGTTGGGTGCTTCACATGTTTAACAGCAGTTTAAAAGGTTTTGTTAACAGGTTCATCTTATTATCTTATTAACCAAACCAACATCCAAAACAAAGCTGTTTTAATAATTATCATATTTCCACACTGCAATTATGCAGTCTGCAGTTTTCTTTATATTTTCTCTGTCCAAACAAATATTAGAAATGATACGTTCATTAAAAGTTTAACAGATCAAGAGCTATTTAACAAAAGCCATCCCATGTGTTCTGATTTGTTGGACCCTGGTCACAATGAGAAAGGAGGTCCCTCAATTTAGGTGACCCCGCTTGTTGTATAAATTTAATCTGTGACAAGCTGAATTTCTCCTTATACCACGTGTATGCAGATGACACAGTGTTATGCACATCGGCACCCTCTCTGGATGCATTACACTCAAACCTTCCGACTCATTTCATCCTGTAACTGAACAAATTAGTCCTTAATGCTTGCTAAACCAAAAGGTAAGTTGTTTTCCCATAAAATGACAGAAACCTTTCCTTTATTCAAAACATCATAGTGATATCATAGAGGTTGTGTACCATACATAAATCAGTCTTTGGCTTCAATAGGATCTTCATTTTAAGTATCATATTACACACCTGATATCTAAAGATTTTTATACAGATTAAAACCATTCCATTCCTTTTTTTAAGCCACTTGTAACACAACCTTTTTTTTTTTTTTTTATCACAGCTGTATTATAGTGATACCATTTACAGATCTGCCTCTCCAAATACCTTATCTAAAATCGACCCTATCTATAATGCTGGTTTACAGCCAGAGGCAAAGACAAAAAACAAAGTTAAACTCAGGTTGACAAAAAGCTCAGTTTGACTCAGCAAAAACTCAGCTTGGCTAGAGTAACCAAAACTCTGGCATCGAGGTAGTGGCAGTCAGCAGCTTAAGAACTCTCCGTTTAACGAGGAAACCATCAGCAGGTGTGTGAGGAGGCGGACCAGAACCAGGCGCCTCCTAGTGGAGGAAGGGAGACAAACACAGAAACACAAACACAAAGACAGGAGTCCTGACACATTACAATTTTAATGTCTTCAGTACAGGGGCCAAAACAGGGGGCCAGGACATGATCTACAGGGGCACTGGTCCCTGTTGGCCCCTGTAGAACCGCCGATGGTGAAGAATGATGACACTGTGGCATCTCCCTGAAATTAGTTTTTGGAGCTTGGGATGTCTGCTTTTGTGCGCTCAGAGCCTCGAAAGAGTATAGTCCATAGTGTTGGAATGATCTGCAGCTCAGATTAAATTAGAGTTTTTAATCTCTAACAAAGTTTTATTTTTAGTTTTATTTCAAATTATTAACAGAAGTCTTGCTCCTGTATTTATGTGTAGACAAAATGACAGAAACACTAACATCTGTTTTATTTTTATTTTTTTTAACGATCTAGTGACAGATACTCCAATTTGTATACTTTTGTATATTCTGTTTTATTAGCTTTTAAATTATTTATATGAATTATCTAGTGACAAAAACACAAACATTTAATTGTTTGTATTCTCTGTTTTTATAGTTTTCTACTTTGTTTTCATGGAGGCTCCAGAGATATTATTAGTCATTGTTTATGAATGCTTGTTTTTTATCCTTCCAAATTGTGCTTGGCTTGGACATCCTCATAAAAGAGATTAATAATCTTAATGGATTTCTTTCCTGGTAAAAAAAAAAACCTTCAAATAAAATACCTTATTTTCATGTTGCTTCATGACATCAGCTCTGTTGTTCCTCTTTTTATAAAATAATCAAGACCATGTTTCTAAAGTTTGAACAGAAAACAAAATAAATCACACCTGGGGGCAGAAAATGTTGCTAACAGAAAAGAAAATATTGTTTTTGCTCTTGCTTTTTCCTTTAATAGATTTTATATGATTTTGCCTCCTGTGTTGATGTCAGAGAAAAAAAATCAATAAAACGTGTGCCATGATTTCGCACGCTTAAGAGAAAATCACTAAAGCCACAAATCCTGAACTGTGTGGAGCTTCATGGCTCTTTCCCAGGAAAGATGTGACGATTTTTCTGCCTCACTGCTTTCCTATTTGGTTTAGAGAATATAAATGAACTATTTCAGATGTTCTTCATATGGTTTAAAAAAATGCCCAAGCTTTATGTGAACTAAATATCAGGATCCCATCTGAAACGTCACAATAACATAAATGAGACACTTTTATGAGAGTCTCTCTGTTCTCTTCATAGTCATACACTTACATTTTGGCAACATGATAGAAAAACTTAAAAAGAAAATAAGGGATTCATAAAATTTAAGTAAGATGGCTGCTCTTTGTTAATGAATAGAAGTGTTTAGAGATCTTGAAATCTAAAACTGTTAGCCTGACAGATGCAAATTAGGTTAAGAAGAGTAAAGTGAAAACATAAAGAGGTCACAGCTGAGTAAAATTTATTTAAAGTGAGTGGTTTGAGAGGCCAGGTGCTGTGGATTAATGTAACAACCTTTATCCTCTCCCTAGGCTTACAGCACTCCTCTTAGCCTCTTATAAAGATGCTTTTCAATTAAACCTGACTGCTCGTGCAAATATGAATGCTAATGTGATGAATGGAGTCCATATGTGCCAGTGAACGAATAACTGAACACCGACAAATGTCAATAAGCTTTAAATTAGAGAGACACTTTTTATTTATATATATTTGACGAGCAAACACACTCAGAAGAAACAAGATTTTAAAAGACAAGAAACTTGATTTGCTTCAATAGCTATGTTTACATCGGCATAATTAGGGACTGATTGAAATAAAAATCTATTTTGTTAACACTGCAATCAGGATTACTTGTAATATGCTAATATTAAACATATATAGATTTGAATATGCTAATATGAATATGTGAATAGTTTAATATCAATATATGCTAAGTTTAATATTAATATGTTAGCAATAATATTAATAATTCATATTAAATACTAATATGTTAAGCTTCACTTGTTTAGTAATGAGATTTTAACTGAAATATTTTTGGCTAGGGGTTCAGTGGTTTTTGTTAATAATCTCATATTTTAAACTCTGAACAACATATGACAGTCTGAATATCAATTGATCAAATAACATATTTGCCACCCCTGCTGGGCTGGGCATTTAGTATATAACTATTGCACAATAATGATACCATGGAGAGTGGTGGCATGGTGATTAGGGCATTGCACTTGGGTCCCAGAGGTTCTGAGTTCAAGCCCCACTCCCACGGACTGCCACTCAGGGTCCCTGAGCAAGATCTTAACCCCACACTGTTCCCTGGGCACCGCACAATGGCAGCCCACTGCTCCCCAAGGGGATGGGTTAAATGCAGAGAGTTAATTTTGTTGTGATGTACTTGTGAAAATCTAATGACAACAAAATGCTGGAATATATAAATGTCTAGCAGAACTTGTGCCAAGGGGATGGGTTAAATGCAGACAGTGAATTGTATTGCTTTTTACTTGTGACAGTGTAATAACAATAAAAGTTGAATTCTGATCTCTTCTATTCTATGGATGGATGGCATAATAGCACCAATACCATTCCCATAATTTTCTTCTTTTAATAGTTTTCTGTTTACATATTGTCAAACTAATCAACATTTTCCTTTTCTATCTTACCACTGTACCACTTTCCTCCAATGCTGCACCATGTCCACTTTGTCCTTGCTGAAAGTTGAGCTGAC